GAAGCTTGAGCCTCACTGTAGATTGCTTTGCTGGGCTAATGTCCTTGGGGAACTATCATGTTAGTATCTTTACGGTTTTCTCTCAGGCCTATCAGATTCCCCAGGAAGACTGAACTTCTGCCCAGAGGATCCATGCTTGGCTGTTGACGTCTGGGAGCCAAGTTGCGAGAGAAGGCTAGGCAGTCTCGACATTCCTTATGCATGGCTTCACTTTCCAGTGTCAACTGTGTGTGCCTTGTTTTCCTTCACTCAGAGACTCTTTATTTTGCCCCCTTCAGAGGATAAACTTCTGGTCACTTGCTGGCATTGGGAAAGAGCAGTCACTCAGCTACTTAGAGTGGGGAAGGAGATCTGGGGTTTTTAAGTAGACTTTAAAGCCACCCTCCTAATTTTAGTCCCGCCTTCTCTACCATATCCAGAGGTAGCTGATGCTGCCAATTCCTGGGCCTTGCTGGGGGTGGGGATGGGGTTCTGCGACACAAATATGGTTGCTTCTCAACTTTCCCCATTTCTGGCTTCAGATTCGGCTTTTCCAAATGTACTCAGTTACCAATGAGCCATCACTGTCCAGCTTCAGGTTGTGTTACTATGGCCTCTTCCTCCATTTTCCTTGGCCCAGCTGGTTTATGCCTTTTGGAATATCTCTTATTGTCCTTTGAGTCTTACATGAGGAAATGGAGGTATGATCACTCTCCTCTCTTTACCTGGAAGTCCAGGAGTAGTTCTTGGCTTTAAAGAACTAACACTTCATATCTCATTTAGTTTGAAATATGTGGACCACACGCCTCTCATGGAATATTAAACTTCCTCCAAAAGAAGTTTCTCAAGTGATGGAAACCCATGAAGTTTTTCCTTTTAGAAAAAATAATATGAGTGTGAAGCTTCAGCCACCTCCTAAACCTTTGACCTTGTGCTTCTAAATTACCCAGACAGGCAGATAATCCCAGCTTTGCCCCTCCCAGGTTCCCATCCCCCTTAAAACAGAGATTCCTGAGTCCATTTTCTTTAATGTTTCAACCGTAGCCTTTTAATAGTTTCCAATAAATGCTTTCAACTGGGCAATATACATATCATGCTTTCCTTGTTACTGGCCCATCAATAAATATACAAAAGTCAGAGGAAGGGAGTACTGTGAAAAATCAAAATAACAATGGTCACCAGATACATGCAAACAATAAAATATTCTTGGAAAACTCAAAGTGATTTACAAAAGGCATAACTATGACACAAAGGTGAACGAACGATTTTATTCTTGTTCGGAAGCACATTTTATCTTCTACAGAAGTGGGAGGGTTCCTTCCTCCTACTCCCACTAAAACAGCATTGAATGAACATTGGCTAAGAAATTGGTCCTTGGTGTCATAGTCTTGATGTACAACTTTTTGAGGGGTTTTGTTGGAGGAATCTATTCTGCAGGTTAAAATCTGCAAAATATAGAGATGAAGGTGTCTTTCGCCCCATTTTATTTTGCACCCAGTGCTAATTTAAAGGGAGCCCTCAGGAGACATAAAAGATTTATGATTACAGGAAAAATTACCTCTTAAGCTCTCAGCTTTGCAGGCTTCTCATCTTCCCTCTTTTAACTTTGCAAAACCATGAAATGCTGGCCCCTCACTAATAGAAGCAAGGCCCCGGTGAATGACTTAGCCCAGGCCACCTGGCAAGTCACTGGTAGGAATGATGTGTAGCCAAGCTGAGCTTCTGGAGTTACACTATTACGTCAAATGGGAGAGAATGCGTCCTAGTCCATGAACTTCAGGCAATAGTACAAGTGTAGTGCACCTAAGAGATGGAAGCTCTAGACTTCCTTATTTCTCCTTCTCCACTTCCTCTCCCTTTCTCCCTCTCCTCCTATCTCCTCTTCTTCTCCTTCTCTTTCTCTTCCTCCTCCTCCTTTCCACATTCTCTTCCCCCTTCTTCTCTTCTTCCTCCTCACTCTCCCCCCATTCCTCTTCCTCTTCCTTCTGGTTCTTTCTCTTTTTGTCTGAGAAATATTGCCAGTTAAGCATATTAGTTTAGGTAACAGATAACTTATTATAGAGGCCTAATGAAGGAGGTCCCATTTTATAGGAGCTCTTACTATAGAGATCTAATCTCTTCTATTATAAGTAACCTTTGGAAGTCCCAGAATGAATGGGGTTTTCTGAAGTTGTGAATGAAGACCACAGAGGACTTGAGAACCAAGGGATAAAGCCATTAATCTTTTATTTGGCCATAAAACTGGTATCTGGTAACAAGACTGAGTAGGTAGGAAACCCTGTAACCTTTTGAGATTCCCCAGGCACTTAACTTTCTGAGTAGCACCATCATTGGGAACAGACAACTGGAATGTTAAAGTATAAACAAATACGGCCATAAAAATACTCAAACAGGATCTACACTGCTCCCTCCCCCAGTCTACCCCAACCTGTGCAACCAGTGGCTACTGTGTATGCTCTTTCATGTCCACGGCTTCTCCTTGGTTACAAGAGGCCAGAAGGCACTTTCATATTGTTTTTGGACATCACTAATGGGGTCAGTGAAAGGGGACACCACAACAGTACGTCATGCAAATGTAATGTGACTTTTCATAGCCCTTCAAGGAGAGAATAGGTGGCCATTATAACAGGAAAGCTGTCGAAGTCCCTCCTCTCACAATTTTGGTTCTAGGACCAGACAGAAAGCCTTTGAGCCTCAGAAACTCAACTGCCTTCCTGGATCTTCTGTGAGATTTGAGTGAGGGGAGTTGGAGTAGGGACTTAGCTCTGAGAGGAAGTCTTCCAGGGAACCCTCCCACATCTTCCTGATGAGCTGTTGGGACCCAGACCTTGCTGGTTAAGACACTGAAGGATCACAGCACAAAGGGTAAAAGTGGAAGAAGTACAGCTGTTTATTATGAATCAACTTAAACCCTTTTTATGCCTCTGACAAAGTAACAAAACAAAACAAAATCATACTAATTACAGGACCTCCAGGGTTTCATATTTCAAAAACACAGATAAATAGCTTACTACAGATAAATAGCTTGACCCTTTGGGCATTCTCAATAGCATTGGGAAAATTTCCAGGGCGTCTGTAGAAAAGGATGTATAACCAGTACATCCCAGTCCCCTACCCCCATGGAAAGCAATGCCTAGGGACTGGGCCCCTAGATGGACAATATGAACCCATTCAGATTTCCTTTCAGGAACCAGTTCCTCTTAGCTCTGGGGGGATGTCCTTAGCATGTGGCTGTCACCTGGCAGGTGGGGTGGAGGGAAGATTGAGGATCAGAAAGATGCATTTATGGCTTTTGTTAGATGCCATCCATAGCATACCCCAGGGAGTGGGAGGCTTAAGTCAAAATCTTGCCGATGGTTAATTGGGCCCTCATTTCAGAAAGCAATGCTCTTTTTATAAATTGACTGACTTCAAAAAACAAAGCACAATAAACAAAAAGGAGTAGAAAATGTTATGCTAAAAAAAAAAAAAAAGAACCCCAATGAAATAATCAGTAGCACATTGCATCTGTGAGTGTCCCAGCTCCCTGTATTGGTGATGTGTGATTTCTATCCAAGGTCACGGAATAGGTGTTACACCCCAATCTTCATGTCCACGTTCTGTAGGTTCCGCGTCTCATCGGCTGTCATACACTGGTCTGGGGTCTCCGACGACTCCTTGTTCACCAAATGCACCATCTCCTGAGACTTGCTGGCCTCCCCGTTGAGTCCGCTTGGCTTTCTGTCCTCCACAGCTCCATTCCCATTGATCACCAGCTTTTTCTTCTGCCCACACCTGATAATGTAAAGATCATATGAGAAAAGGGTGCAATGACCCAACCATCAGCATCACAGACAACATCATTATCACTACGGTTTATAATGGTCCTTAGTATGTTTCCTCTTACTGACTTTTAACAGTCGGCACTTCAAGTGAGGTCCCCTGAACCAGCAGTAAAAGCATCAGCTGTGAGCTTGTTGGAAATGCAAATTCTCAGCCCCAGACCTAGGAGTGGGGCCCAGGATCTTTGGGTAAAACCCTCACAGGATTTCTGAAGCAGTGGTCACAGCTCAGGAAGCCAATGGTGTTATTATCCCCTATTACATGTGAAGAAACCTTGGGGTCAGAAAATTCAGTAACTCGCCCCAGGTTACTCAACCCCTAGAGTATCTGACTCCCAAGTTCTAGTTCTCCTTTCACCAAGCTACGCAATGGAAATGTTTGCCTCTATTAGTGCTTTAGCAATTTCCACAGACTCAGATAAACCATCAACATGATGTTCGCCAATCATTCTGATTTGTGTATTTAAGAAAGTCCCATTACGTGGATGGGACAAGATTAACCAAAGAACGTATATGCATATATGCATAGCCCATGGACATAGATAGTGTGGTGAAGGCTTGGGGTTGGGTGGGGGTTAGGTGGAAGAGGCAGGGAAGTGGGAGAACCGGGGGATATCTATAATACTGTCAACAATTCAAAAAAAAAAGTCCCATTACTTCCTCCCACAGTCAACACTGTGTTGGCCTTGTCGGGGTTATTACTGCATGTACTGAGAAGAATGAAACAACATTTTTCTAGAACTATAGGCCGTATTGCTTTTTCCCGAACATTGGTTACCTTCCATATAACCCTGGTTATAGGCAGTTGAACTACACAAGGCAAAAAGTTCAGCTACTTTAAGGTTTCTCACTACTAACATTTCTTAAGATTCAAATGCCAAAGGTTTTCTATGGAAGAACATGACCTTGATCTTGTCCCCGTGTCATAGCATTGTCATAGCACCGCCTCACCCCACGCAGCCTGACACAATGCTTCCTCTTTCCTGTAACACGATCGCTGCTGCACATCTAAAAGTCAGACTGTGCTTCATGGAAGCACAATTGCAGATCTTCACAACTACAGGTGGGGTAGGGGGAGGGGCAATGGGCTAGCATTTATTGGACACCTCCTGAGTGCCAGGCACTTCACATGTAACTTTATGTAATCTTCACAATCACCCCACAATGCTGCTCTTATTCCCATTATATGTCAGTGGAAACTGAGGCCCAGGGAGTTTAATAACCAACTTGAGATCACACAGCTCGTAAGACAGAGTCAAAATTCAACCCCAGGCCTTTATGACCCAAAGCCTGGACTCGGCCCAGCTCTCTTCATGCTGCCAACCATCTGGAGACGGGGAAACAGTATGAAGTCGGAATTGTTCACTTCGCCGCTGGATATTTGGAGTTGCCAGACAAAGCCTCTATTATTCATGATTGTGGGCCATT